CTGTCAATCAAAAAATACGGAGTGTCTATTTACATTTAGTTAAAAGTGGCCATAAAATATCAGCTTCAGTGGTGCAGATGGATAAGTGCTCGTCGCTGGTATTTTGACGCGATCGAACCGGGTTCCATCCCGCCTTTTGCCGAACTTTTTTTTCTCCCTTTTCAAATCTCGTATCACATCGTAAAGGCATTTATTTTCAATAAAAATTAAGGAAATAATCAAAAAGTTGAAAAATAAAGTATCGGGTAGGGTTAGGGTAGGTGTAGGGAGGGCTTTATTGTACCAATAAGGTGGCATCCATTTAATAATTAAAATTATAATTTACACTCAATACGTTATTATTGCATACTGTTTTATAATGTACTACAATACTGAAGTGCAGATAATTGCCACTATTTGCAACAAGTAGTATACTTGATAGTAGAAATCCTGCTATTTTAACAGTGGAAATAAGTATTTGCACTTAGTGTAAATGGCATATTGCTAAAAAATACTGCTATTTTCACTTAGTGTAAATAGAATCCATTGCTAATATGAGATTTGAAAAGGGAGAAAAAAAAAAGTTCGGCAAAAGGTGGGATCGAACCTGGGTCGAATCGCGTCAAAAAGCCAAAATGTTTTCTGACTTGTTGTTGTGCTTTCTGAATTGTTATTTTGTTTTTTAGACTTGCAATTGTGTTTGTAATTTGTTATTTTGTTTTCAGAATTGTGATTTGCTTTGCACTTTACGGCCACTGTACGTTGCTAAAAATATCGTTATTTGGTGTAATGTTTATGCAGTTTAAGGTAAAAAAAACAACAACATTATTTTCCATATAATGTACATTATTGTTTCTCCTCTATGCCCCACCTTTCTGAAACACGTCGATTTTTACAAAGCTCATCGGTCTGAAAAAGCGAGGTGTGCTCTGATTGGGCAGCTATCCAGTGCGTTGTGATTGGCCGAATGCCTCAAGCGTGTGATGGAAATGCTACGCCCCTCACCATACTGTGATGCGTGTCCCAGCAGGACGAGACAAAACCAATAAAACCCATTACAAATGAGGCATTTGTTGCATCCAGTGGGGACATAATTACTGATTATAATGACTTATAGTGGAGAGTTGCTCACAAGACTGAATGGACTGTGTGCTCTTTGAAGAATAAGTAACTGTAAACCTCACTTTTGAGGTAAGATTGTTTAAACAATCTTCATTTTCCTCCGGCTCTTTCATCCAGTTTGGATTGACGTCCTGATCCAGGGAGGGTCTGTGTTGTACCAAATACCTACCACTTTTTAATAATAGACTTCACTGTGCTTTTAGGCATTGATAAAGCCTTTTAATAAAATTTGTATCCATCTCCTGACTTGTGCTTGTCAACAACTTTATCCCGGAGATCTTTTGACAGTGTCTTGCCACCCATAGTTGATTGTTTGCTTCAGTTGCACTACCAAAGACTGAAATGCTCCAGGAAAGCTCTTTTCATGCTGAGCTAATCAAAATGACCACAGCTGATCACAGCTGAAAGTCGAATGGCTTTGTGTGTCATTGAGAAGGTGATTAGCTACACTTTACAGAGTTTACAAGTCATTTTTAGGATGAGGGTGATCCTTTTTCCAACTTAGTGATTCTGTTTTTTTTTTCTGCCATGTTGGTGTTATATCTTTCACTTGGATGTTATAAGTTGCACTGAGTAAATACATCTGGATAAAACAAAAACTGTCCATCTTTATTTCAGGCTGCAAAGCAACAAAATGTGATTATTTTAAAGGGGGGTGATTCTTTTCTATACCCACTGTATCAAGTGTGTCCAAATTTCAGACTAGTAGTGTATGTGATTTATCTTCATCATTTCTCTTTCCAGCAATGTCATCCTTCAGTGGTCCACTGACTGAGGGGCTTCAGTGCTCTATATGTCTGGACGTGTTCACTGATCCAGTCAGCACTCCATGTGGACACAACTTCTGCAAGACCTGTCTGAATAAGTGCTGGGACAACAGCCAGACCTGCAACTGTCCATACTGTAAAGAAACATTCAACCAAAGGCCTGATCTCAAGATTAATACCACACTCCGAGAGCTCGCAGATCACTATAAAGTAAAAAGTGCTGTGAAAAATCTGGAGGACTATATATGTCAAAAACATAAGAGGCCTCTGGAGCTGTTCTGTAGAGATGATCAGACGTGTGTGTGTCTGATGTGTGCTGTGAAAGAACACAAGACCCACAACATTGTTTCTTTAGAAGAGGAGAGTGAAGAGAAGAAGGTAGAAGTTATTAACAAAACTGATTTGAAAGGAATTATGTCATGGGGAAATACATTTTGATCCTGAACCTATCAAATAAAAGAATTAATTATAAAAACATATTGTACATTTCCTCAGAAGACAGTAAATCTCCTTTATGATAAATATGCCAGTTTTGTTCTCTGTCTATAGACTCAACTGATGAAGACACAGAAAGACGTGAAGCAGATGATCCAGGACAGAATCAAGAAGATCCAAGACATCAAACACTCAGCAGAAGTCAGAAAAGTGAGATCAAAATTATGTAATAAACTTTAATTCAATGTTTATTGTAGATCTTTTAGTTCAGGGGACTTCACTGTTTGTATCACTCCGCTTGCCTTTGTTTGTTCAGACAGTCGGTCTGTGTATTAGTGGTGGGGATTTTACAGTGACTCTTTCTGCAGACAAGTGACTTGTGAGTTAGTCACTGATTTTGATTCATTCGTTTAACCGATTCGTTCAAAAACACCTATTCAGTCAGGAACGAACTTTAACTTGCAATTCCGAGTTAATAACTCACAATTCTGAAAAGACAAATCCAAATTATGAGATATAAACTCAGAATTGTGAAAAAAAAATCCAAATTATGAGATGAAAAACCCTATTTAGTAAGGTAATATCACTTATCCTCAACAAGACACATGATTTGAAGAATATTTTAGTGTAAACAGTGCAGGATGAAGTTTAATATTTTGGGTGAGGATTTTGAAAAACCCTAAAAACACTGAAGTATGAGCAATAGTAACAATGATTCTTGCCTTAGAGATTTTATACTGAAGTGCTGGAGATGATTGAGGAGCAGCAGAAAGCAGCAGAGAAAGAGGAGCAAGAGCTCATTGAAGAGCTGGAGCAGGAGATCACTGAGCTAAAGATGAGAAACACTGAGCTGGAGCAGCTCTCACACACTGAAGATCACCTCCACCTCCTACAGGTCAGTGAACATCTCTCTGATCAGTGATAATGCAGTGCATGACACCATAACACTCCCCATGCTGAAGGATTTCTCCTCTCTCCTGCTGTAGAGTTACTCATCCCTGTCCAGCCCTGAAAACACCAGGAACTGCTCTGAGATCAGTGTGAAGACTCATAAGAGTCTGGAGACTCTGAGCAGAGCTCTGACTAAACTGCAGGACACTCTAAACAGCAAACTCATTCAAACTAGTATGTTAACACTTACTTTGATCAGATAAAACATAATGTTGTACATTTTTTTTAATATAACCTTAAAGCTGGTCTATAACTCCACATGTAAAAACATCTCAAAGATCTCATGATGTTTTATTGTTATAGTGTCTACAGAGCTGAAGTGGATGCAGCAGTATGCAGGTACAGTGTGCTGTCTGTGCTACACTAGATTACATGCATATACGCACAGCTTCATTAATGCACTAGTCTGATTAAAAACATCATCATGAAATATCTGTATTGTGAAGTTGTGATTCATATTCTCTGTTTTCTCAGTGGATGTGACTCTGGATCCTGATACAGCTCATCGTAAACTCATCCTGTCTGATGATGGAAAACAAGTGAGACATGGAGACACTGAGCAGAAACTACCAGACAAACCAGAGAGATTTAATTTCCTGGTAAGTGTCCTGGGAAAGGTGGGCTTCTCCTCAGGGAGATTTTATTTTGAGGTGCAGGTGAAGGAAAAGACTAAATGGAATTTAGGAGTGGTCCGAGAATCCATTAACAGGAAAGGAGATATCAAACTGATTCCCAGTAATGGATACTGGACTGTGGTTCTGAGGAATGGGAATGAATATTGGGCCTATGCTCATACTGACGTCTCTCTGTCTCTGAGAGTGAAGCCGCAGCGGGTCGGTGTGTTTGTGGATTATGAAGAGGGTCTGGTCTCCTTTTATGATGTGGAGTCCAGCTCTCATATTTACTCTTACACTGGTCAGTCTTTCACTGGGAAACTCTATCCATATTTTAGCCCATGCCTTAACAATAGAGGTGCAAACTCAATCCCACTGATCATCACTCCTGTCAATGACAATAAATGAATGTACACCCCTAATATGTTTTAGAATGTCCCATAAAACTTTGTTTAAAAAATAATAATAATAATATTCAGGTAATTTTTCTCCTCTCATATATTATATAAATAAAATAATAATTGCTTGTAAAATGTACTGTAGAAGCTGCTCTGTTTATAGCTGTTTACGTAATTACAGCATTTGAATAAAGACATGAATTCCTATGAATTGTTGTGTTGTGCCATGTCTGTGTTTTAAACCAGCGCAGGGTCAGCTGACTGTCTGGGTCATGTTTAATCAAGATGTTTTTGATTGTGATTCTTACATTTCAAGTTTACAGTCACAGGTCAGGGTCATGGGTTTGATTCCAAGCAATGCAAGCATTGATTAAACTTATACTTTAAACGCAATGTAAGTTGCTTTGGATAAAAGCAATTTGCCAAATACGTAAATCCGAAAAACCTAGATTTTCACCAACTGTTTTTAGTAAATGATTCTAATTTAATTTCATAATGTTTATTTATACAGGAATACAAAAATTAAAAAAATAAAGACAATGTTCTTGGCACATTCAGACTGATTTTCAATTACTTGTCCTATAGACTAGTAAGTAAAGAAAAACAAAGGAAGAAAAAAATAGAATGGCTTTGTGAAGCGAGTTAAGTTTGTTTTATTGAGTTAATTTCAGGGAATTGGAGCGCACATATGACGTATAGATAAAACTTCAACTCCCAGAAGACCACGCGGCGGA